TGATGGCATGGGATGGTGGGTCTGACTGCATTGGATGGGGTGTGTGATGGCATGGGATGGTGTGTCTGACTGCATTGGATGGGGTGTGTGATGGCATGGGATGGTGGGTCTGACTGCATTGGATGGGGTGTGTGATGGCATGGGATGGTGGGTCTGACTGCATTGGATGGGGTGTGTGATGGCATGGGATGGTGGGTCTGACTGCATTGGATGGGGTGTGTGATGGCATGGGATGGTGGGTCTGACTGCATTGGATGGGGTGTGTGATGGCATGGGATGGTGGGTCTGACTGCATTGGATGGGGTGTGTGATGGCATGGGATGGTGGGTCTGACTGCATTGGATGGGGTGCGTGATGGCATGGGATGGTGGGTCTGACTGCATTGGATGGGGTGTGTGATGGCATGGGATGGTGGGTCTGACTGCATTGGATGGGGTGCGTGATGGCATGGGATGGTGGGTCTGACTGCATTGGATGGGGTGTGTGATGGCATGGGATGGTGGGTCTGACTGCATTGGATGGGGTGTGTGATGGCATGGGATGGTGGGTCTGACTGCATTGGATGGGGTGTGTGATGGCATGGGATGGTGGGTCTGACTGCATTGGATGGGGTGTGTGATGGCATGGGATGGTGGGTCTGACTGCATTGGATGGGGTGTGTGATGGCATGGGATGGTGGGTCTGACTGCATTGGATGGGGCGCGTGATGGCATGGGATGGTGGGTCTGACTGCATTGGATGGGGTGTGTGATGGCATGGGATGGTGGGTCTGACTGCATTGGATGGGGTGTGTGATGGCATGGGATGGTGGGTCTGACTGCATTGGATGGGGTGTGTGATGGCATGGGATGGTGGGTCTGACTGCATTGGATGGGGTGTGTGATGGCATGGGATGGTGGGTCTGACTGCATTGGATGGGGTGTGTGATGGCATGGGATGGTGGGTCTGACTGCATTGGATGGGGTGTGTGATGGCATGGGACGGTGGGTCTGACTGCATTGGATGGGGTGCGTGATGGCATGGGATGGTGGGTCTGACTGCATTGGATGGGGTGTGTGATGGCATGGGATGGTGGGTCTGAATGCATTGGATGGGGTGTGTGATGGCATGGGATGGTGGGTCTGACTGCATTGGATGGGGTGTGTGATGGCATGGGATGGTGGGTCTGACTGCATTGGATGCGGTGTGTGATGGCATGGGATGGTGGGTCTGACTGCATTGGATGGGGTGTGTGATGGCATGGGATGGTGGGTCTGACTGCATTGGATGGGGCGCGTGATGGCATGGGATGGTGGGTCTGACTGCATTGGATGGGGTGTGTGATGGCATGGGATGGTGGGTCTGACTGCATTGGATGGGGTGTGTGATGGCATGGGATGGTGGGTCTGACTGCATTGGATGGGGTGTGTGATGGCATGGGATGGTGGGTCTGACTGCATTGGATGGGGTGCGTGATGGCATGGGATGGTGGGTCTGACTGCATTGGATGGGGTGTGTGATGGCATGGGATGGTGGGTCTGACTGCATTGGATGGGATGTGTGATGTCATGGGATGGTGGGTCTGACTGCATTGGATGGGGTGTGTGATGGCATGGGATGGTGCGTCTAACTGCATTGGATGGAGTGTGTGATGGCATGGGATGGTGGGTCTGACTGCATTGGATGGGGTGTGTGATGGCATGGGATGGTGGGTCTGACTGCATTGGATGGGGTGTGTGATGGCATGGGATGGCGGGTCTGACTGCATTAGATGGGGTGTGTGATGGCATGGGATGGTGGGTCTGACTGCATTGGATGGGGTGTGTGATGGCATGGGATGGTGGGTCTGACGGCATTGGATCTCAGGATCGTAAACACCTTAGTCGGCAATAGTCTACTTGCTATCGCCTATCGTGTTCTCCACGATCTCACGAATCCAATGATATGCGCAGCTCTGCTTGAAGTTGTCAATACACACTTCAGCAATTTTCAGAATCTGATTGGTATAATTTCCAGAATGAGTACAAGCAGTTTTATAGTCAGGCAAGACACAAAATGCGATTCGTAACTTCACTTGTTTCCCAAGTAACCGCGTGCGCCTCGTTTCACCCCGAGTCGCACACGCAACCGAACCGAATTCGGTGAACACTCCGCAAGTCCGAATCCCGAACTTTCTCGAACGCGCCTTGGTCTCGAAGCACATTTTTCCCCTCGTCAATCTCATTCTCGATGCTTCTCCTTCTCTCTCCCTCCTTCTAGCACATTTCTTCTCGATTTCTCTCCCGCTTCTCACGCCGTAGCCTCTATTCCCCACCGTAGGCCGATTTCCACCGTTTCACACACGCGCTTCCATTTCGCCGTCATTCCGCCGTCGTAGATGCTTTCGCCTTAGGTTCCGTGGTTGGGCGAACCAACCCTAACATTGGATGGGGTGTGTGATGGCATGGGATGGTGGGTCTGACTGCATTGGATGGGATGGGATGGGATGGGATGGGATGGGATGGGATGGGGTGGGATGCGATGGGATGGGACTAGCTTGATTAGGATGGGATGGGACGTGACTGGTTGACTTGGGATAGGATGGCATGGGATGGGATTGGATGGGACAGGATGTGACAGGTTTGATTTGGATGGGATGGGATGGGATGGGATTGAAATGGTGTGAACACGACGGGAGGTGATCGGACTGGTTTTCTTTGGATGTCATGTGATGAAACTGGTTTTCTTTGGATGTCATGTGATGAAACTGGTTTGCTTTGGATATCATGTGATGAAACTGGTTTGATAGGGATGGGATGGGATGGGATGGGATAAGGATGGTGTGATTGGGATGAGATGTTTTGGGATGGGATTGTTCATTTGGGAGCGGATGGCATGGGACAAGTTTGGCTGGGATGGGATGGGATGGGATGGGATTGGACTGGTAGAATTGAGATGGAAAGTGTTGAGACTGGTTTCTTTGACTGGGATGCGATGGGATGGGACTGTTTTTTTTCGAATGGGATGGTGCTGGACTGCTTTTGGATGGGAAGAGATGATTGGGATGGGATGGGATGGGACTGATTTGAATGAGATGGGATCTGATGGGACGGGTTTGATTGAAATAGGATGTGATAAGATGGGACTGGTTTGGATGGGATGGGATGGGATGGGATGGGATGGGATGGGATGGGATGGATGGGATGGGATGGGATGGGATGGGACTGATTCGGTTGGTATGGGATGGGATGGTATGGGACGGGACAGGATTTGTAGGGATGGGACGAGATGGGATGGGACTAGTTTGGTTGGGATGGGATGGGATGGGATGGGATGGGATGGGACTGTTTTGGTTGGCATGGGATGTGACGATACACGGGGATACGTGGCATCGCATGGGAAGGAGGGTGTTACGGCATGAAATTGTGTGTGATGTCACGAGATGGTGTCGGTATGGGTGTGATTGCATCAGATGTTGTTGATGGTATCGAATGGTGGGTGTGATAGCAGGAAATATTGTGTGTGATTGCATTGGATGGGGTGTGGGATGGCATGGGATGGTGGGTCTGACTGCATTGGATGGGGCGAGTGATTGGATGGGATGGTGGGTCTGACTGCATTCGATGGGGTGTGTGATGGCATGGGATGGTGGGTCTGACTGCATTGGATGGGGTGTGTGATGGCATGGGATGGTGGGTCTGACTGCATTGGATGGGGTGTGTGATGGCATGGGATGGTGGGTCTGACTGCATTGGATGGGGTGTGTGATGGCATGGGATGATGGGTCTGACTGCATTGGATGGGGTGTGTGATGGCATGGGATGGTGGGTCTGACTGCATTGGATGGGGTGTGTGATGGCATGGGATGGTGGGTCTGACTGCATTGGATGGGGTGTGTGATGGCATGGGATGGTGGGTTTATTCTTTCGGCCTCTTCCACTCCTTCCGTTCCGTCCACTCATCCTGCTTTCTTCACGACTCATCGCCACACAGGTGCTACGGTATGTTTAACTTCCCAGAACATCCAAATAAGAATACTTAATCCCAGCCACACGGCAAGCAGGTGTTGATTTTAGCTCCAACCACCCACAAAAAGCCAACAAACTACATGGATAAGGGAATTCCTTTGTGATTTACTTTGTCGTAGTACAATATACTATACACCCTCTTCAAACTCAAAAGCTAGACGTGGCATAGGGCAGGACTGCTGTATCACAGATAACCTCATGACACAGTCATTCCAGGAAAGATGTCCCTGACCAGTTCTTGGACATCTTCAACATCTGTAGCGATTGTCTTGAGCATCTTAAGCCCCTTGAGCCATTTCAGGCCAGCAGCAGTGATCTCGGCACTCCACAACCCCAGCCCCTCCGGGCGTTTCATGTTCCTCAGGTGCTTCATGCTAGAGTTAGTAACCCCTGGAGGCAGGATGAGGAGCTTCAGTGATGTGAGAGCAGCCAAGTGCTGCAGCCCGTCCTCCCTAACTCCAGTGTCATTCAGGGTGAGAAATTCTAGCGATGTCTTGCCCACATGCACCATGTTGGCAGAGGTGACCGCGGGGCAGTCGTCTATGAACAGTCTCTTAAGTGCAGGCAACCACTCCAGCTTCGCTATTCCCGCATCGGTTATCTCGGTGTCTGCGAGATAAAGTTTCTGAAGGTTCCTCGGCCCAGCAATGCCTTCAAGAGCAGCGTCTGCTGTGGCCGTACCCCAGAGATCAAGAACCGTCAAACTGGTGAGAGAAAACAGCCCTCTCACTCCCGCTTCAGTGAACCCGGAGGAGTTTTTGAGGTTCAGTACTGTTAGAGAGTGCAACCTGCGGAGTTTGGAAAGAGCAGTGTCGATGAGGCAAGGGACGGCGCTGAGGTTCAAGTATGTCACGTGTGGGACTGCTTCGCTCCAAAGTGTCATCAGTGCCCGCAGCCACGGATAACAGCAGGTTCCAACATGAAGAGGGAGTGGCATGAATCATGATCACCTGGCATGATTTACGGCTTTTCTAATGCAACATGGCCATGAAAAGGCTGCCCACTGAAACATGGCTACGGCGCGCTGCCACGCAATGCGCGGCTGGCCGGGCCCGCCATGGCGACGTTGCTCGGATGGGAAGATAGCTGCGGATAAACAACTAGAAGAGAAATAGAAGAATATAAAAAACGTAGATGTAAGAGAATTGATAGGAGAGATTGAAGGCTCAAATAGATGATGAAAGAATTCTGGGATTATTTTATTGAGAGCATGAATTTATTTAAAGATGATATAACAAGAGCGACCCGGGGGGAAAACCGTGTCGCCACTCTTTCAGCATGGCATCTTGGCATAGCGCCACGCTCTGCTGCTTTGGTATGACAGGGATAGGGGCGACAGATGCATGCTAGCAAGTGTTGCTATTCGGAGCTAGCTAGGCAAAGCCGTCTTTCCCTTTGCAAAAATCCCCATGCGTACCGCATGGCGAATTCCCATCCGGTTACACCCATGCACCTGTGCGTGCCACACAGACTCTAGGTGATAGTGGCAAAAATACACTAACAAAGCAAACATACAGACAAACAAGCATCCAGACCATCGCGCACTCACCTCCCACGTCTTTCCTCCTACAACGCTCATTGTCTCCAGTGCTTCCACTCGCGTCCTGAGCCCCTTCAGTTCTCCATCTGTGTTGCACGCAGCAGTATTCCCCACCCCCTGCGCTCCGCCCTGCCTTTCCACCTCATTCATCGTTTCAACTGGCAGGGCACCACCAGCTGCAGTCAAAGCATGTCTAGCCGCATCTACCAACCCTTCATTTTTCCCCACCGCCTCCCGCTTCCGCTTCTTCCCCTCACGCCGCCTCTCAGGCCCCTCATGCTCCCCCGCGCTGCCCCCCCTGCGCTCGTTGCGGATGCTCCCCGCGCCGCTGTCCTTGAGCGCGGCGAGTGCCAGCTCGACGTCGTTGATGCGCGCCTCCGAGTGCGACACCGTCGCCTTCACATATGCCACCTCCGCCGCCTGCCGCTCCGCCGCGGCCCTCCATTGCGCAAGTTCCGCCTTTAGCGCGCCCATCTCCCCGCGCATCTCACTCGCTGTGTCCCCCGCCGCCCTCCTCGCCGCGTCCACCTGCGGCTTCACCTCCTTCACTTCAAACGCAGCAGAACCGTAATCCCATGCTCCATTCAGCGGCTGCGCTCCAATGCCTTCCGATGCCTCCCCCGACGCGCTTCCTTTTTCCGCCCCCTCCGCGGAAGCACCCGTCGCAGCCATCCCCTTGAGCTGAGCCATGGTGCGGCGCATGTCGGCCATGTCGCTCTGCATGGCAGCCATGGCGTCGCCTTGCTCCCTTAGCTTCGCCTCCAGCGCCCCCACGCGCTCCCCCACGTCGCCCGCCATCTCCTCCACCTGCACCTTCAGCACGCCGCTCACGAGCCGCAGCTCCATATCCTGCGTTGTCGTCGCCATTCCCTTCTCAAACCCGTGCAAGGTGTTTTTTTTTACTGCACGCTGCAAATTACGCAAGCTTACACCAGCAAGTACCATAAACACTAGAGCACTCAACGGAGTAGGACGATAATAGTTTCGGCGTGGAAACGGGTGAACGTATTCCATGGAGGTGAAGGAACTTAGGTTTGTAGATTTTGTGCTTTTAAGCACATTGTCGTTGGGTCTCGGGTGTGTGCTTGTTTTGTCAAGATAGCAAGCAGTGATGATTGCATTGAATGAAATGTGGGTACAAGTACTAACCCTAACTTCGGGTTGTACCCCATATGGGCTACCCCACTATAGCCTACACAAAACTAACACATATATAGTTTGACACACCCCCATAGGCAAAGTGGGGGAGAACAAGGGGTCACAAGATCAGTCAAGAAAAGCAAAGCAAGCTCGGGGTGGATCACAACGTCACCACACACTCAAGCACAAGAGAAGAGGCCACAAGGCCAGTTCACATGCAGAGGTATATATGCACCAACAACAGTGCAGTGATCACTACTCAGCAAGAGTAAACATGCAGGTATATATATATATATACAGATCACAGTACAACCAGAGTCTACAGCAAGTGAGGAAACGTAGGCACCAGGCCTAGAGCAGTGCAGAAGCGCTGATGATCACCAGCCGGAAGGGCCTTGGTGAACACATCAGCAGTGTTGGCCCGGATGGGCATGTGAGCGACACGAAGCTCACCACGCTGCTGCAACTCTCGAGCCCGGAAGTAACGCAGAGCGATGTGCTTCGTTTTGTGCTCCAGTCTGTGGTCCTGACACAAGGCAATGGCAGCCTTGTTGTCGACGTACAGAACTGGAGGAGAATGAGGCCTCTCTCCCAAGTCGGTCAGCAGGTAGGTAAGCCAGCGTAGCTCCTATGCAACCATGGCTGTGGCGTAGATCTCAACCTCACAACTGGAGCTGAGAACAGAAGACGAGCGAGTAGACCGCCAAGAAACAGAGCCAGAGCCAAGGCTGAACGTGTAACCCTGTGACGACCGCTGCGTAGCCAGATCGTCAACCCAAGAAGCGTCTGAGTGCCCAGTGAGGACAACTGAGCTCCGCCCTCCAAGCACGAGCCCCATGCCCGATGTACTGCACAAGTAGCGCAGTACCCTCTTCGCAGCATCTATGTGCACCTTTTGGTGCCTACCAGGAGCCACGTAGCGCGCCATAAGGCCAAGAGGGTACGCAAGGTCAGGACGAGTGCAGGTCATCAGGTACATGAGGCAGCCCACTAGCTCTGGGTACGGGCCACTCGGCTCTACGGACTCGTCCAAAGGTGGAGCTGAGAGCGAGTGACCTGTAGCCAGAGGAGTGGACTGTGGCGAGGACCAAGTGAAGCCGAAGCGCTGAAGGACCTGCTGCACCATGTGTGACTGAGTCAGGGTGATGGTGCGGCGTGCTCTGTCGCGGGTGATCTGCAAGCCAAGGTAACTTCGCAGCTCACCCAGGTCTGTGCACGTGTGTCTCTTCTGCAGCTTTGACTTCACAAAGGCGAGAGCCTCAGTGTCCGCAGTGGCAAAGACCAAGTCGTCGACGTACACGAGGATGTAGAACGGCGGCAGTGAAGTGTCGGTGCGTAGAAACAGCGACGGGTCAGCAATGGAAGGGGCAAACCCAAGAGCCGCAAGTGTCGTCCTCAGTGTGTCGTGCCACTCACGAGGCGCCTGACGGAGACCGTAGACTGGCCGACGGAGGCTCCACTGGGTACCAGGAGGGAACGACCCAGTGAAGCCAGGTGGGCGGCGCAGCCAGATCTCCTCGTGCAGATTTCCCTATAAGAACGCTGTGCTGAAGTCCAGAGAGTGAAGCTCGTAGTCACGCTGAGCGGCAACGTGCAGCAGCACCCGAAGAGTGGTCATCTTCGGGGTGGGGGAGAAGGTCTGGAAGAAGTCAACTCCCTGACGCTGACTGAAGCCTCGTGCAACGTAATGAGCCTTGTAGACAGGCGGAGAACCCGGCGGCCGCTTCACCCTGAAAATCCACATGCCATCGACGATGTTCGCCCCAGGAGGGGGAACCTCATCGACGTAAGTGCCTGTGGACTTCCAGGATGCCATCTCTGCGTCCATGGCTGTCTGCCACTGAGAGGAGTACTCACCCGCGATCGCCTCAGCGTAAGAACGCGGAGTCGGGTTGTCTGTTGCATCCGGGTCTCCCTCAGGGGCAAGCAGAATGGCCACGAGATGAGGCGCAGTGGCTGCAAGACACTCAAAGTCCTCCTGCCTGTCCTCAAGGACGTCCGTGCCAAGAGCACACTCACCCCCGACGGACGGAGGACAGACAGACTCAGACTCAGCAACAAGACTAGCAGCGTAGTCTAGACGACAAGCAGCAGCAAAGTCAACAAGCTCAGAGACTAAGGCAGACGCAGTAGCAGACTCAAAGGAAGGGTCAGTGACAACAGTGGCGAGCAGACGCGTGACAGTAGGGTGAGCAGCACGAACCAGGTCAGACTCAAGGTCCTGAACGTCAGGCAGAGAAGACGCAGGAGGAGACGGTAGGGGAACACGCTGTGGAACAGAGGAAGGACGAAGTGCCATAGCGTGCGTGCCAGGGACAGGAGGCGGACGCTCACGAGGAACACGACGACCAGTGCGACCAGCGCGAACAGGCGAGGCAGGACGAGACGAAGGCTCACGACGCTCTGTAAGCGAGTCTGTCTGCTCAGTGTAAGGAGAAGGAGCAGGCAATGGTGCGTCGGGCTGTAACGGGAGGCCAGTGGAAGACGGGAGGCTAAGAACCTAGCGAAGCACGGAGTCAGGCGGTGGCAGAGACGACGGTGACGGCGGAGCAAAAAACAGTCGCGACGGTGCAGTGCCACCAGTACCAGTAGCTCCAGCGCCTCCAGCAGCTCCAGAACCTCCAGCTCCAGCGCCTCCAGCAGCAGCACCTCCAGCTCCAGTGACTCCAGCAGCAGCGCCTCCAGCTCCAGCGCCTCCAGCAGCTCCAGAACTTCCAGCTCCAGCGACTCCAGCAGCAGCACTTCCAGCTCCAGCGCCTCCAGCAGCAGCACCTCCAGCTCCAGGGACTCCTGCAGCATTACCTCCAGCTCCAGCGCCTCCAGCAGCTCCAGAACCTCCAGCTCCAGCGCCACCAGTAGCAGCACCCCCAGAACCGGCACCTCCAGCCTCACGGTCCCCAACTCCAGGGTCGACAGGACCAGCGCCAGGGCCTCCAGCAGCAGCACCCCCAGAACCGGCACCTCCAGCTCCAGGGTCTCCAACTCCAGGGCCGACAGCACCAGCTCCAGGGCCTCCAGCCCCAGTACCTCCAGCAGCAGCACCCCCGGAACCGACACCTCCAGCTCCAGGAGCAGCACTAGTCCCGGCAGCTCCAGTACCTCCAGTACGAGCACCTCCAGAACCAGAGACACCAGCACCCCCAGCGCCTCCACGACAAGCAGCTCCAGGAGCACGACTCCTCAGGCGGGTACGCGACGCAAGCCACTCTCGTGCCTGCTGTGGTGAGACAGGCCCGCGTCGTGAAACGAGACCCAGAGGAACGCCAGCAGACTCAGCACCCCCAGGCTCCGCACCCCCCGGCACCTCACAGACGGGCTCAGCACCCCCAGGCTCCGCACTCCCTAGCACCTCACACGCAGGCTCAGCACCCTCAGAAGCAGCACCCCCAGCAGCACCACCCGCAGCAGCACCTGAGTCGCTAGTAACCTATACAGGCTCAGCCAAGGGGGGGGGTCTACCTGAGACACACCTGAAGGAGCAGGACCGTGAGGGGGGAGGGGGTCTACCGGATGGGGACCTGGAGCGAGGAAAAGCGGCGGAGGAGGGAGAGGGGTAGTGCGGTAGGGGAAGAGACGGTAGAATGGAACCGACTAGTCAAAGGTGACGTCCTGAGAGGGGAAGACACGGTGCGAGGTGGGGTGGTAAAACTGCCAGCCAGGCGCGTCAGGGACAAAGCCAAGGAAGACATAAGGAACGGTGCGGGAGGAGAGCTTGTCCGCGGACGTATCGCGGACAAGGGCACGAGCACCCCAGATCCGGAAACGCGAAGCATCGCCAACCTCCCCTGTCCAACGCAGTGTGGGCGAGGTCTCCGGCAAGGAGACACGGGGCCAGAGGTTGAGCTGCTGCGCGGTGTACCGGACCACAAACGGCCACAGAAAATGGGGAGCCGCCGCATGAATCAAGGAGGTACGAGCGACCTCCATGACTAAGCCAATGCGGCGCTCAGCAACCCCATTTTGCTGTGGTGAATCCGGAAGCGTGAACGACTGCTTGATGCCCTCCCCTTGACAGAAGGCCCGCAAGAGGTCGGAGGTGAACTCACCACCTCTGTCAGAGTGCAGACGCAGGACAGGAAGGTCCTGGCGGAACCTGCGGCGGAGCCGGAGACGAACTGCTCGGATCCAAGGGATCAGGACAGCAGGGACCTCACCCTTGGTGCGCAAGGGGAAGACCGTGGTGTACCGCGAGTAGTCGTCGACAACCAGCAGAAAGTACCGCTCACCGCCCTGTCCACGAGCGCGGGCTGGGCCCCACACGTCCAAGTGGAGGGTCTGCAGAGGAGCCTTTGTCGGGGGAAACGAGGAGGAGTGAGGAGCGGCCCGCTGCCGCCCCTCGACGCAAGGAAGGCACGGCGGCGCAGGCAAGGCAGGGAAGGGAGGGAGAGACCTGGGAAGACCAGACACAAGGAGGCGACAGTGCATGCCACGTAGACGTGGCAGGGAGGGGTGGCCTAGGCGGTGGTGCCAGAGAAGAGTCTGGTTCGACAGGGAGCGACACTCACAAGGGAAGGCTACCTGACCTGACGCAGAAACCTGACCAGTAGCAGCTACCTGAGGAGGCGCAGTCGCCAGTATGTAAAGACTCGACCCTGGCCGACGGGTAAACGTGGCCAAGTGGCGGCCGGTCCGGGAGCACGTACAGATCGCCACACGCTGTCCTCCAGGGGTAAAGGTGTCAACCCACTGGTCCGGGAGAACTGCGTTGCTCACCAAGTTCGTAGAGAACGAGGGGAGGTGGAAGCCTGTCAGTGAGCCAGACGGAACCGCCGGGTACGGAAGCACAGTGGTGGACCGTGCAAGAACTGGGCCCCCTGAGGGGTCAGCCAGAGAGACTGCAACAGGTGCAGGGAGTGGTGTGAGTGCAGTACTGTCACGGAAGAAGCAGCGGGAAGCACCTGAGTCAAGCGTGAAGGTGTGCAAGGCCTCAGCAGGCGCAGTACCTGAGGAAGCAGACTCGCTAGCACCTAAGGCAGCAGCCTCACTAGCACCTAGAGCAGCAACCTCTATACCGGGGTCGTACTGCACACACAGGTGACAGTCACTCTCAGCACCACCACGCAAAGTAGACATGGCAGTAAGGATGGCGTCATAGTCTAAAGCAAAGACAGCAACGCCCGACCTAAGCAGCTCAAGCCAGGGGGGGATCTCAGCCTCGTCGCCAAACTCTGTGCGCCAAGCGTCTGTCAAATAGGCGAAGCAGCGGGACTGTGCGTGACCAGTTGTCCCACAGGTCTCACCAGCTCGACGACCTGTGCGAATGACGTACGGGCAGCGACCCGGACTCGGAGACGGCCCATGCTGGTAAAGCCACTCACGAAGCTGCCGGGGCGTAAGGGCCGGACGCCGCCGTAGCTGCATCTGACCACCGCCAGACACTCCGCACCAAACAGCGCCACAGGGACTGCTACGACGGCCGCCACCACTCCCACTGCTGCCACCACCGCCGTCATCACTCCCACCGGTACGACAAAGGGAATCCATGGCAGGCAAGCTAGGAGGAGCGCGACCTCTAGGGCAGTACGGAGTGAAGGCAGTAGCACGAGTAGCAGCACCAGCTAGAGCAGCACGGCGGCGCGCGGCCAGAGCAGGGCAGCGTGCAGCCAGAGCAGGGCAGTAGCAGGCAGCAGCAAGTAGTAGCTCCTTTTTTTTATTTGATTTTAATTCTATTTAGGGTTTAGTAGGGCGCTGGCGCAGGGCAGGGCGCTGGCGCAGGGCAGGGCGCGGGCGCAGGCCAGGGCGCTGGTGTAGGGCAGGGCGCCAGCGCGCGCAGAGCAGGGCGCTGGCGCAGGGCAGGGCGCTGGCGCAGGCTGCAGCAGCACGTGACGCGAGGAGCAGCAGAGCGCGATGCGACTGGCTGCCTTAGGGTGCGACGCACGGGCTGCAGCAGAGCGTGACGCGCGAGGTAGCAGCGCGCAACTTGTGGGCTGCCTTAGGGCGCGACGCGCAGGCTGCAGCAGAGCGCGACGCGCAAGGCAGCAGCGCGCGACGCGCGGGCTGCCGTAGGGCGCGACGCACAGGGCCGCAGCGCGGGCGTAGGGCAGGGCGCTGGCGCAGGGCAGGGCGCTGGCGCAGGGCAGGGCGCTGGCGCAGGGCAGGGCTCCGGCGCAGGGCAGGGCGCTGGCGCAGGGCAGGGCGCTGGCGCAGGGCAGGGCGCTGGCGCAGGGCAGGGCGCTGGCGCAGGGCAGGGCGCTGGCGCAGGGCAGGGCGCTGGCGCAGGGCAGGGCGCTGGCGCAGGGCAGGGCGCTGGCGCAGGGCAGGGCGCTGGCGCAGAGCAGGGCGCTGGCGCAGGGCAGGGCGCTGGTGCAGGGCAGGGCGCCGGCGCAGGGCAGGGCGCTGGCGCAGGGTGACGCCAGGCAGGGCAGGGCAGGGCGTGCGCGAGGCAGCGCGATGCGGGGCAAGGCAGGGCGTGCGCGGGGCAGCGCAACGCAGGGTAGTGGGGTAACGCGGTAACCGCAGTCGGAAGCTAAGTATGGTGGGCCCGAAAAAATTAACGGTCCTACGGACCTACTGCTCTGAAACCATGTCAAGATAGCAAGAAGTGATGATTGCATTGAATGAAATGTGGGTACAAGTACTAACCTTAACTTCGGGTTGTGCCCCATATGGGCTACCCCACTATAGCCTACACAAAACTAACACATATATAGTTTGACATGTTTCCGAACCGAGCACAAGCGAACCCCTCCAACCGAGTCGCATCGTCGCTGATTATGAAATGAACGGTGCGATCTGGGAGGCATGCTGGGGGCAGGCCCTCAGATTGGTTTGGGGGTACACTGAGGCCTCAGGGCAGTTTTTAGGAAATCAGAATCTGCCCTGAATTGTCAGGGCTGCACAGGGTGAGGTATCCTGAAATGTCAGTGCTACATTTGAGAGTATCCTGGCAGCTCAGTGCTACATTTCGTACAATCCTGTATATTTCGCGCGTGTTATGTTAGCGGGGATCGAAATGCTCTCCACATTCGAAGTGTGTAATTCTGGGGTGCAGCTGCAAGTGGCTGGCAGTGCAAGTCGCTGGCAGCTGCATGGTGCGAAAGTGTTACAGCACAGTACAAGGAGATGGCGAAGGTGGCGGTGAACATCGTGGGCCAAATTGGATGGAAAAGCTGGCGCAAAACAATATTGTTATAGATTTTGTTGTTCAGCGAGTCGAACATGAAGTGTTGTAGTGGGTAAAGCGAAAGATTGCTACGCAGTAGGTTGCCTGCTCGATTCCAACTGGTTCCATCATCCGAAGCGTTCGCCTTGTACACTTTTGGCCCCGAAACCCAGGAGATTTTTCGTACAGTACACAGGGCCTCAGATTCCAGGAATTTTACCCTGATTTCCTGATGTTTGACCCCGGTTTTTTATTGTAACCCTGATGAATCAGCCTTTTTGTTTTTACAACCCTGATGAATCAGTGTTTTTCTTTTCCTAATCCTGATTTTCCAGTGTTTCTAGTTTGTCGACACTGACGAGTCAGTGTTGTATCGGAGACGACCCTGAAACCGAAAACTCCGTGATTCTCGCAGTTTTGCGCGCCGTCATCATGCATGAACCCACCCTGCACCGACGCCACCCTGCGGCGCGCCCAGATACAGTTGAACGGGTTAATTTCGGGCTGTGTTGGCAAAACGGCGTAAAGAGATTGGCTGTCCCAGCTGAAGCAATGTACCGTTGTCACGTTGGATAACCTACACTTGTCATTACTTTCCATTGATGTGCACAAACAACCAAGCCTAGTGGCCCAGTGGGCCAGTGGTCTGCCTTGTTCTTTCCACCAAGGCAGGGCGTGCTGGGGCGGCCCGCTCAGGCACCCCACGCAGGGGGTCTCGTGATTCTGCCATTCCAGCTCTCCAGACTCCATCCCTTTCCGAAACATCAATCTCTGCAGTCTCCCTGAAGCCTGCTCGGCAGGCTCTCTCTCTCCCAGGGTTTCTCGTTACTACTCACCGATTCAGGAAGGTGACGTGAACGCGCCATGGCGATCACCGGTGAGAACAGTTGCGGTGATGATGACGACGATGCACTTTACGCCGCCACCGAGATGCTGGAGGCCAGAACGGGACTAGATTTTATAGTTTCCGCGCTCTCCCATGAAAAGGAGAATCCAGGTCCCGTCGCCTCAGTAGCAAACACTGGTGAAGCGTCTGGCCTCTGCCGCGGAGACGATCGTCCCCAGCCCGCGCATACTGCTAAGCCGGCCGTGCCGTCAGCAGCCGGACCGAGCGTCCGCTTGCCATCTCGTGCGTCGTCGTCGAAGCCTCCGCCTCGTTACAAGCAGGCCGTGCTCCGTTGGGCCGATCCTACAGATCCTGGACGTCCTCTCGCTGATGCCGGCGAGTCGGTAAACCACGTTACGCCCACGCCATCTAACTCTAAAAAACCGTCACTAACCACTCTGATTTACGAAGAGGCCCTTGAAACGTTCAAGTCGACGTGGTCGACCGACTACCCATGGCTCATCCTCATAAAAAACACTGCTGGCATGCCTGCGTTCAAGTGCAGATTGTGCATCGACTTTGCAGGTGACGGTGGCAAGTGTGGCAAGAGTGGGCACGGTGCAACCGATCTTCAGACCCAAGCCTTCAAGCGGCATGCCGCGACGAACAAGCACCAGTTGGCCATCAATCACCAGAAGCAGATGCTAGCTCAGGCTGGGATGCGCGGCTGTCGGACCTCATGTGCATGGCATTGCTGCCGTACGAGCCCGACTGGGCGGAGGTGGTGAAGATCTGGAGGGCGTACAAGAAGCGCAAGCCCATCACAACAGTGGCAGCACCAAAGAAGCAACCTAGTGCTAAGGGGAAAGAGAAGGTGGACGAGGATGATGCTGGTGGTGCTGGCTCTGGGTGGGGGACAGAGACCCCCGTGCACAGGCACGGTTCTATGAGCGATGGTGGTGGTAGTGACGAAGATGAAGATATGTGTGTGATGTGAATTGTGTGTGCGGTGTGAGCGCCAAGTGGTCTGTGCCTGTAGTTAGATTAGAAGCTCATTAGAACCATATTTGAACTTTTCTTAACTTATTATACTTGTGATAGTTGTTGTGGATTCTCACCGCCAGTGTTTTTTTAAAACTCACGCTGATGTGTCAGGGTTTTTTTTTTTCTAACCCTGAGAAATCAATGTTTCTCCATTTACAACCCTGATGATCAGTGTTACAGCCCCAAAGGACCCTGAGTGCTCAGGGTCACCCAAAACGAATCTGAGGCCCTGACAGTACATCTCGCTTCAGGGCGAGATTCGACATTATCCTGAGTCGTCAGGGCTGAACCTACAGCGTTATCCTGAGTTTCAGTACGCAAAATAACCATTATACTGATTTTACAGGACAAGTAATTCCCTTATGCTGTTTTTTCAGGAGAAGCACACGACACCTATCCTGAATTCAGGAGAATCAGGATAAATTATCCTGATAACATAGGCCCTGGCTGGGGGCATTCGACGTGCGACGCTCAATGCGCTACCAGATGTGCAATATACAGTTGTGCGCTCTCCGTTAGGAAAATATTGAAAGGAAACATTTTTTGTGCAAGTGAGAGTTCAAAATGTTTTGATAACCTATATGACTCTAAGATCCCTAGTTTGATACCCTTCAAGGTGGCTCACGCACTTTTCTATCCAGTAAGGAAGATGCTTTTCTCCAAGTTTGTGAATTAGAAAGGCCGGCATCCATTACTACATTCTTATTGTTGGTGGAAACTGATGTCGAAAATTCCGTAATCTCCTCCGAGTCTCTGGTAGCCTATCATACACCGCATACCCACTCCCATCCACCCCCTGCAGCATTAAATCCAGCACCACAGTCAGTTGGAATGAAGACCATGCAATTCAGCAATGGAGCATGCAGAGATACATACACACATGCACGATTGAACGTGTGCCTGAGCCTCCCACCATGCGCAAGTGACGTGCTCCAAAGGCTTCAACGAGGGGTAGATGAAGGTCTTCTAGCCCCTGCACTGTGCCTGCCCCTGGAAGCTTGACCAGCACACCACCCATTTGTCTCCCACCTCCACTGCTGCTGCAGCTGCTACTGTTGCATCGGAGAGTGAATTCTGGATTGACAATGGGGAAGCCATTGCTGCAATGAGGGGCGGGGAGGGGAGGAGGGTGTGAGAGAGTCAAGTCAGGATAAAGAAGGATTGGACAGGAAAACGTAGAGGGATGAAATGGTGAATGAGCCAAAGGACGAGCAAGCAGAAGTCAGGGGGGAGTGACGGGGGAGTATGGGGGAGAAGGAAGGAAATTGGAGAAAGCGGGGAAGGAAGAGAGTGCGTATAAATGAGTGCTTGAAGATGGGAGGGAGGAAAAGGGAGAGGTGCCGATGCAGAGGAGGGAGGAGGGAGGAGGGAGGAGGGAGGAGGGAGGAGGGAGGAGGGAGGAGGGAGGATGGAGTAGGGAGGATGGGGAAGGAGGGAGCAGGAACGGGAAGGGGACGCATGGGGGTAGCCGGTAGTGGTGGCAGAGTGTTTGGCAGAGAGCAGGGCTGGGCTTGTGGCAACGCTGGTGCACCGGATAAAGCAAAATGTCAGTGGGGAAGGGAACGGAAGAGAAGATGGGGAGGGGGGGAAGAGCTGTGAAGAAGAGGCAATTGGGACACTTCCCCCCCTTTCACACATGCATGCCACCACCACACCCCTTGGGTGCAGTACTATCAGATATAGGAGAACACATAACTTATCGCCCATTTGGAACAACCCCCACCATTTCAGAGGCATGATTTAGCGCAAGCACAAATGGCATGATTCGGTACATAAACATTCGTCCTGTACACACATGGCTGCTCACATGGCATACCGCTTGCCGACATGGCATTCCATCTGCTGACATGGCATTCCATCTGCTGACATGCCATTCCATCTGCTGACATGCCATTCCATCTGCTGACATGCCATTCCATCTGCTGACATGGCATTCCATCTGCTGACATGGCATTCCATCTGCTGACATGGCATTACATCTGCTGACATGACAGACAGGGAAGCATATTAATACATAGATGGTCTCTCCCTCCCGTATAGTCGCTGCACGAGCGAAAGATAAGGGCGATGTGAAAAGAGAGGAAGGGAAGGGAAATTGACAAAGTGAGGAGAATGGGAGGAAATGGCGAAAATTGGGGGGATGGGGTAGAATGGGAGGGGATGGGGGAGAGGGGATGGGGGTGATGATGAAAGGAATGGAGGGGCAGGGCGAAGGGTAGGGGAGAGGCGCGCGGGGAGGGGAGGAGAGGGAAAGCGAGGGGGGTTGAGGTGGGTGAGGGAGGGTGCTGTGGGTGGACGTGAGTGACATGCATGTACCGCTTGATGTGAAGCCGTGTCGTGACCATGTAACGCGCATGTATATATGAGAAGCGCATGCAATTGAAATGCATGCATGAGCATGTGAGCATGCAGGAGTGGACCCATGACAGCATGCCTCTTCGTGCATGTCACATGCAGCAGATGGCGTCGGCATAATACTATCAGCAGGGCTGAATTCTCATCCAAAAATTGCAATACATGAGCGCTTCATGTTGCTTCACAGTTCTCTTGCTTCCATCACTGCTTCACTCTCTCCCCAATTCCCCCACCCCCTTCTAGAACCGCCACACGCACATCCAACCGACCCACCACTTCACGCCCTTGAGAAAGTTCCCAGAAAGTTTCATGTGGCGTCGCCTCCGCACCACTCGCTCTAACCACCGCCTTGCGATGCCACCCGCGATGGGGCAGATGATGCCACACTACCCTCCGCGCGAAACAGCCTCTCCTGCTGGTCTCACATGCCACGTCAGCGACCGCATCAGCATGAAAGCACGCCAGGAGGGAGAGGGCTGTGGGAACTGAAGCAGCGGCCAATCAACAATAGCTGGCGTCCCTCCCTCCATCCCCTCCGAGTTTTCCGCCACATCCAAGGCCTTTTCTGCTCCTTCCTCTCCGCCCTTTCCCCCCGTTTTACGGCCTTTGCGGTCTTCTTCTCTAATTCGACTCTTCCCTTCTTCCGCCCTTTCCACTCCTTCCGTTCCGTCCCCCGTCCTTATTCTTGCACTTCCGTCTTCGCTCGCTCACCTCGTCGCGCGCAGAGAGTCGGTCAGGGCGATCTGATTGGGCGAGGGTCTCAGGCTCGGACGCGACCACGCTGGACATGACGCGCCCACGTGCCGGTTGGGAGACCGCGAATGGTGAGGGCTGCTTGAGAGTTCGCGCTGTCCCGCCACCATGAAACGGCGGGAACGCAGCGTGAACGTCGCATTTTGAACGATTGTCTTAACATCGCTTTTACGATCAGTTCTATTCGTGCTCGTAACTAAGGCTCGTAAACTCCTTCTGGGCTCGTAATCGCTTCTGCGCTCGTAGACGCTTCTGCGCTCGTAACCGCTTTTGCGATCGTATTCATTTACGCGCTTGTAGTCGCCTTCGCGCTCGTAATCCCCTGCGCGCTTGTTATCGTTTGTGCTCTCGCGAGTCGCGTCTGCTTGTGATTCGCCTGGGAATCATGGCTGGTTGCCTAGGGCTATGCCAAATCCCGCCTCAGGAATGTCGAGAATCGGGATTGCCGTTCCGCCTCACTGCCATCACAAGACGCTGCAGCGCGAACAGTACTCTTGAGACCGCTTCGTACCGCGTAGACCTACCTTCCTCGACAAGCACATTATAAATTCCGAAATTCGTGTATCCAACCGGGCACAGAAATTCCATGTAACATTGCATTTTGAGCGAATTTCCACCAAAACGAGAAGACGATTGCTCATAGAGAGGACAACACAAAATTTGCTGCAAGTGGGACTCTCGCTTTCACCCTCAATTCCCTAGCAGGCAACCCCAATGCCTGCTGAATCTGAGATCGCCTTCCTGGGCTGTCCCAACTTTGAAGTAGGGACAGCGAAAGTGCACTTCGCACGTGCAAAGGAGTAGTCATTGTGATGAGGTGGAAGGCAACGAATCTGGACATCGAGTGAGTTCACAGACCCTGAACGTGCGAAGACCCCCCACGATGAGACCCCTTTGACGTGTGGCGAGAATCTGTCGAGGGTTTAGGGTTGCGAACGCTGACTGTAAATTGAGTCGTGCATGCAAATCTGATTGGGCGTTAGGTTTCGCATACTCCTAACGATCACACACATCAGAATCGGCTTGCACATGGGGTAGACGTGGAAGCTGCCAGGGTGGACAAAAAAATCTGCACTTTTGGGGCTGTCCATGTCCAGACTTCGCAGGAAGGCGATCTGATCCAAATCCGACACCAGTGAGCACAGCACACACAGACCAAGCCCTTCTGGCTCACACGCCATCCCTCGAGACGAAACCTAGAGACCCGTCGCCGGAAATGTTTCCATATGGTTTGTTGTAACAAAGCGTCGTCGAAACGGCTAGGGAAGAAATCGAGAAAAAAAATGATGGCGGGAAACGGGTGAGGCGCCTCGAGGGACCCGAGCACCTGAAACGCACCGACACCGACAGAATCTCCCCGAACCTCCCACCCACACCGCTTATTTCGCCTGACGCGACGCCATCAAGTTCCCAAACCTGAGCCCCAGCAAAAGACGCCTTGAGATCCGTCCACACACCTCGCTGCTTCATTTTCCGTCGTTCGATTCCTGTGACGTGGCATTTGTATGAGTAGACAGCAAGGCAGGCCGAGGCTGAAACTCCAATGTTCAGGCAGACGAGGCATGTGGGGGTGGAGGCGGGGGATTGAGCATGCGAGGCCCGAGAGGAGTAGAAAATGGGGTCGCCGAGATTTCAACTTATCATTCCCTCTTCCTCTACCATTCTGTCGATCAACAGTGAAAGAAACTTTCAGAAATCAGTCTCTGTCCAACGAATAGTTCTGTTCAGCGATCCGCAGTAAAGTAACATGGCCTCTCTCGCCGATATTTGCACTGTTAACTCTGTTTCCCACTCGGCGAGCTGTCCTGCAACGCCTACCAGAGGCATTGGCAAGTTCGGAACCCCGCGAACCGTTTTCTCGCCTGTAAGCTACTCTCCTGCCAAGCCTGCTGCTTGCAACGTTGACGGCAAGACATGCTGCAGCATCGTGCTCCTGAAGAGCGTGAGGCCGCTGCTGGAGAAACTGGCCTCCCAAGGCGTCGCTGACGGGCAACACAAGCCCGCCAAGGTGCACGTTGTCCCTGACGCACCCGACGTGAAGCGGCCTGGAATCGGCCGCTTCGGAGGCAAGCCTGCTGCTGCCGTGCTTGCACCTGCACCTGTGGTCGTCACTGCTGCTCCACTCCAACCATCTGCTGCTGCTGCAGTCACACCGTCTGCTGTGGTTGCGCCTGTGGTGGTGCCTGAGGTAGCGCCTGTGGCTCCAGTGGCTTCAACCACACTACAGGTGCCTGAAGCGAGTGTGACAACAGAAAAAATATCCGAGGAGGCGAATGCACGTGCTGCTGATCCGAGTGAGAAAGCGAGGTGGGCGAAGCTGCGTCAGGAAGTTCAAGCTATGGATGTTGCAATGACACGTGTTGCTTACCTGAGGTGGGACAAGCTGAGCAAGGAGTCATCATGGGCCATGGAGATTGAGGCGGCCATTGAAGCCGCCCTGCGTCCCTTCTTCTTCCCCAAGCATCTTAATGTTGTGGCGAATCTGACTCCCAAAACCGTGCCTCTTGCATCTGCAGCAGCAGCGACTGTAGCAGCAGCACCTGCTCCCTCTGCAGTATCTGCAACAACAACAACAACAGCATTGAGAGGAGCTGGAGCAGTAGTACAGAAGCCAATGCGTACCCCATGTGCAGCAGCACCAGTAGCAGCTGCAGCAACAACATCAATAAATGCACCTGCTTTGGCATCACCTGTGAGAGGAGCTGCAGCAGCAGCACAGGTTTCAAGACCTGCTGTTTCAGCAAGGTGCAAGGTGGGGGGTGGAAGTGCATTGGGCAGGAATGGGTGCAGCAGCAAGGCGAGGCCAGCAGTGAGAGCGGGTGGCAAGGCCAGCAGCAGGCAGGCGAGTGGGGTGAAGCAGAGAGAGGAGGGTGGGTGTGGGGAGGGAGCAGCAGGGAGGGCAGCAGGTGGAAGGCAGGGTGGTGTGAAGGCAGCAGGTGGCAGAGCAGTGGCAAGTGGCGTGTGTGGCAGGGAGGGGGTGAAGCAGCAGGCGGGGAGGAGAGAGGGTTTGGTGCATGAGAGGCCGGCGAGGCCGGGCTGCAGCAGCAGCAGGGCGCACAGAAAGAGCTCCTGAAAGAGCCCTCAGTGCCATGCCTGCTCTGAGAGTGGGCGCATCCCATAAGGGGCCTGGGCTATACTGTACATATGGTACATGGGTACAATACAAGTACAACACTGAAGGGTGTGCTGGAACAATGGTGACAATGGATCAACTCCCAGCTGCTGTTGGGAATATGTGATGACTTGAAGCCTTGTAGGTAGCATTTTGTACACTGTACCATTTGTGAAACATGTTAGGACATGTAATCTGCAAGTAAATTGCATTTTCAATTCTCTGCTTCATCTGGGTGGAAGCAGTGCGGCTCACCAAGAAGTGTGCGTCAGCACAATTAAGTGCGGGACCATTATTTCTAGTGTACTACAACACACGTGGGTCATTGTGATACTGGATCAGTTCATGTTAATTGAGATCTTGAGAGCAGAGGATCCCAGAGGATCATGAAGTGTACATGGGTGAAGTAAAATCCTCAGCTGAGGCAGCATGCAGTAGAGGTTGCAGCAGAGCATCTCAGGAGAACAATACGGTAACTGTGCATGCATGGCTTGCTCATGAAACAGCTCCCTGCTGCTGTTGAAAACACATGATGATGACACTTCGAGACCCACAACCATGGGATGAGGGTAAATTAGTAAATGGGTTCGCGTATGGTGCATGGGTTGATGGTTGCATACGAGAATGGATGCATGGGCTCAAGTACATGGGTGGATGGGTGCATGGATTGTGTCCTAAGAGCTGCCGCTGCTACGTGCGCAGTGGAGGCGAGACCAGAATGACCCCGTCACCTCTCACAAAAATGAACGGGATGTTGCGCCTTGATGTCTGCAGGGAAGGGGGACAGGAAGGGAGGGGGGAGTGAGGTGTGTGTGTGTGTGCGTGTGTGCCTGGAGGAGAAGATAGGTGTGAGGAGTGGTAGCGGATGCCGCAGCTTGACGTCTGCAGAGGAAGCATGGAGGGGGGTGGAGGGGGGTTAGGGTTGATGGAAGGTGGTGGGGGTGTTGGGGGTGGCAGGGCCACAGTTAGGTGAGGAATGAGGGGGGAGGTGGGTTTGGGGGAAGCTGAGAAGGCAAGAGGAGGGGTGCAAGGGAGGGGAGTTGGGATGGAGCGCATGAAAGGGGAGGGAAAATAAAAAGGGTGAGGGCAGGAAGTGCGAGTGAAAGTGTGCAGGGCTGATACGAGCTGTGAGGAGGAGGAGGAGGAGGAGGAGGAGGAGGAGGAGGAGGAGGAGGAGGAGGAGGAGGAGGAGGAGGGCAGAGGCACACAAAGGGCACACAGAGGGTATAGTTAAGGCACAGAGAGAGGGCACAGAGAGATGGCACAGAGAGAGGGCACAGAGAGAGGGCACAGAGAGGGGGCACCTCCTTTGAGTGGACTCATAAGTCATCCCCTTCCCCTTCCCCCCTCCCTTCCCCATCCCCCGTCTTCCTTCCCCATCCCTCATCCCCTTCCCCATCCCCCCCCTCCCTTCCCCATCCCTTCCTCTCTTCGCCATGAGGGACGACCCCTGGGATCGCCATGAGGGACGACCCCTGGGATCGCCATGAGGGACGACCCCTGGGATTGCACGTGCGTGTACCCCCACCACCTTCACAATCGCCTCGCACGCCTCATCCTCAATCTCAACAGTGGTAACCACCTCCTCCGCCCTTCGAGGCGCCTACGACCTCACTTGTAAGAATTCTCAAAAGCGAAATCGTCTCCTCTGAGGAGCTTCGAAAGAATCCCCCGACTCCCCCCCACCCCCCCCCCTTCCTCCAACCCCCCCACCCCCCCCTTCCTCCACCCCCCCCTCCCCCCCACCTTGACAATCTCCTCGTAGGTCTCGTCGTCTATCTCCACGGTGGTCACCACCTCCTCCGCCTCCCCCAGAATCATGTTCAGATGCTGGTCGTACGCCTGCCATGCCATGCGTGCACGTTTGAGGGGGGATGTTGGAAAGGGGAGGTGGGGTTGCGGGGGGGGGAGAGAGAAAAGGGAAAGAAATTATGAGGGGAAAGGAAAGGGGGAAATGAGCAGTGGCTGGATAACGCTGATCTCTCAAAGTGGTAACCACTGGTGGCCTCAACTGTGATCCCCACCTCCTCTGCCTTGCCTGCTATCATGCTCACATGCTGGTCATATGCCTGGCGGGAGGGCGCACATATGGTGGCTGACCATATGGTGGCTGACCATATGGTGGCTGGCCATATGGTGGCTGACCATATGGTGGCTGACCATATGGTGGCTGGCCATATGGTGGCTGACCATATGGTGGCTGACCATATGGTGGCTGGCCATATGGTTGAGGGTGGGAGGGAAAGGGAAGGGAAAGGGAAGGAAAAAAAAAAAAAAAAAAGGATGGAGAGAAGAAATCTTTGGTAACCGCCTTAAGCGGTTTTCCCCTGGTATCCGGTTCACATGCTGGTGGTACGCCTGGTGAGGAGAGGGTTCCCTCCTGCTGGTGAGTTATGATGTCATGGAATAACTGTGGTAACACACTTGGAATGTGCAGGCACACTATGACTCCCATCACTGCTGGTACGTCACTCTCAATGTGCGAGTGGGAGGGTGAAGAGCAGTGGGGGTGAGTGTGGGTTCTGTGGAGGGAGGAGGGGAGAAAAGTGGGGAAAGAGAGGGGAATGCAGTGAGAGGGAGCGGAGAGTGCTGTTGGGGGGAGGGGGGAGAGCAGTCGGGGGAAGATGGGAATGGAAGAAGCGGAGAGGCGAGGGCGTGCAGGTTGAAGGTCGGATGCGGGTGGAACGCCTGGAGAGGCGAGGAGAGGGGGGTGGCGAGGGGAGGGGGGTGGCGAGGGGAAGAGGGGAGCGAGGGGAAGAGGGGAGCGAGGGGAAGAGGGGAGCGAGGGGAAGAGGGGAGCGAGGGGAAGAGGGGAGCGAGGGGAAGAGGGGAGCGAGGGGGAGAGGAGAGAGAGGGGAAGAGGGGAGCGAGGGGAAGAGGGGAGCGAGGGGAAGAGGGGAGCGAGGGGAAGAGGGGAGCGAGGGGAAGAGGGGAGCGAGGGGAAGAGGGGAGCGAGGGGAAGAGGGGAGCGAGGGGAAGAGGGGAGCGAGGGGAGGAGGGGAGCGAGGGAAAGAGGGGAGCGAGGGGAAGAGGGGAGCGAGGGGAAGAGGGGAGCGAGGGGGAGAGGAGAGAGAGGGGAAGAGGGGAGCGAGGGGAAGAGGGGAGCGAGGGGAAGAGGGGAGCGAGGGGAAGAGGGGAGCGAGGGGAAGAGGGGAGCGAGGGGAAGAGGGGAGCGAGGGGAAGAGGGGAGCGAGGGGAAGAGGGGAGCGAGGGGAAGAGGGGAGCGAGGGGAGGAGGGGAGCGAGGGGAAGAGGGGAGCGAGGGGAAGAGGGGAGCGAGGGGAAGAGGGGAGCGAGGGGAGGAGGGGAGCGAGGGGAGGAGGGGAGCGAGGGGAAGAGGGGAGCGAGGGGAAGAGGGGAGCGAGGGGAAGAGGGGAGCGAGGGGAAGAGGGGAGCGAGGGGAGGAGGGGAGCGAGGGGAGGAGGGGAGCGAGGGGAAGAGGGGAGCGAGGGGAGGGGAGCGAGGGGAGGAGGGGAGCGAGGGGAGGAGGGGAGCGAGGGGAGGAGGGGAGCGAGGGGAGGAGGGGAGCGAGGGGAGGAGGGGAGCAAGGGGAGGAGGGGAGCGAGGGGAGGAGGGGAGCGAGGGGAGGAGGGGAGCGAGGGGAGGAGGGGAGCGAGGGGAGGAGCGAGGGGAGGAGGGGAGCGAGGGGAGGAGGGGAGCGAGGGGAGGAGGGGAGCGAGAGGTACAAGAGGCACGGGTGAGGCCGGGGGCGTGGGGTGATTGGAGGGGGGAAGAGTGCGAGGGGGGGAGGTGGAGGGGGAAAAGAGAAGGGGGGGGGAGGGAGAGCGGCAGCAGAAGGGGGATGAAGTGGTAACCACCACGTCCGCCTCGCCAGCAGTGACATGTTCGCATGGTGGCCGTGTGCCTGGCAGGAGGGTGCCGCGAGGGGAGTGGGAGAGAGAGGGAAGGAGAGGGGAGATAGAAGGGAAAGAGAGGGGGAGAGAGGGGAAAGAAAGGGGGAATGGGAAGAGATGGGAAAGGTGGGGGAGAGGGGGGATGAGAAGAGAGGAGGGGGAGGGAGGGGAAAGGGTGGCAAGAGGGGAAAGCAGGGGGGTATAGGGGAGGGGGGGCACAAGGGCGAAGCAGTGGTAAGCACATTCTGAAGCGCGTGCGTGGAGGATCTGTAGGGAGGGGCTAGATGCGGGAGAAGGGGAAGACGGGAGCAGGATTTGAACGCGCAGGACAGGGGAAGGCACATGGTTGGGTGGGTGGAGGTGTGCACGCCTGATCACCCCATGCTTGCATGCCTGCACGCCTGGGGCGGATGCGGAAGGGGAAAGCGGATACGGGGAGGGCAGGCAGGGGAGGGCAATCGGGTGGGTGGTTGGTGGACTGCACGCCTGATCGCCCCATGCGACCCTCCCCGCTCTCCCCGCTCTGGGGGCGAAAGAAACGAGTGGCCTAACGCGTCACGACGCTGTAACGCGGACAGTTACCCGCGTTTCGCTTTGAAACGGTTTATACTCGATGATTCGGCGAAGAAGAGTAGCTCTAGCAAAACCAAGAAAAGACATGTTTGATTTCAAAGCATGGCTTCAAGGCAACTCGGACAGCTTTCGCAATTGTCGCGTTGTCGCGAACTGTCGCCTGGGGCGTTGTCAAAGTCACGAGACATCTAAAAACAAGGGACGCGATGAAACTCAAGTTAGACCCACGCGGAAGCTAACGCGTAGGGCGTGACGCCGCGTTTCGGGACATCTCGAAGCTCACGCGCCGCGCGCACACGTACGTGTAGGCGGCCGCGGATCTCTCGCTCGCCTCGCAGCTTCACGTAGATTCGCTCGTCGAGACTCAATCTAATAAGATCCAGCGGCTCCTTCACTGTCACGTCCTCCGTCGCCGTCGCCGCCATTCCCTCCGGTCACGCCCGTCGCAAATCGATTCGCGAATCGCTTCGTTCGTCGTGAATTGCTCTGTCGATCGCGCTGAATGATTTTGGCATGCGGAGGATTGTGTATGAGCTTGGGAAAGTGGTGTGCCGCGGCATCAAGGGGCGATGGAGGAGGGTCAATCCAGAGCTATACGCTATAAACGGTTTCACCTTCTCTGCAGCGGTTGTCAGAGCTGTCTGTAGCTGCTCCATGGCTTGCCGTTTATAGCGTATAGCTCTGGACAAATATAAAATATAACAGATTTGTGTTAAGTAATGTGAACAAATATAAAATAGAAAGCAATCACGTAGTAGGGCTCAGAAAATGAGGGGAAGGAAAGGTAAGGAAAAAGCTGTGATAATTTAGTAAGTATCTACAAGAAGGGCTCTTGTTATCAGACCAAATCGGTCTGATGGTATGAAAATCAGACCTGATTTTTTCGTTTCATCTTATTTTCTGGATTTTATTCCATCTGATCCATAAGACGGACGATTTTATTTCGTCTGGAAAAAAAGACCAAGCCTTATAATTTGTCTGATATTTCAGACACCGAGTATGATGTCATATGATAGTGTAAGGAAAATTCATTTTCCTTACTTCGCGTCCCTGCTCAGCGCGTACACAACTGTTTCCGCCAACAGCACCCAACAGCAATCCGTTACCACTCGCGACACTTGCCTCGCCACTGTTCCCGCCACTGTTCACGACGCGACCCAACCTCACGGTTCGGTTGGTAACCTGCGCTCCGGACCTCCGCCTCGGCACTTTCCCAACCTCGGCGCCAGGCCCGTCGCGCACCCCATTTTCACGCATTACCGTTACCACTGTAGTTTCGCTATATATCCTTCGCTCATGCCTTCGCTCATCGTACTCTTGCTTCGATAGTGCAATTCTCGCTCGTTCACTCAATTGCACTTGTAACAGATAGCGAAAGTACCGTAGTAGCCCCCTTTCCCCCCTTCTACCCCCCCCTCCCCCTCCCCCCTTCCCCTTCTACCCTTTCCCCTGCTCCCTCGAGTCCCTAGCGCGTCTCTCCAAACCAGCACCCCCACCAAGTCCCTCGCCAGCCACCGCCCCAGTCCCTCGCGTCTCTACTAGCCCTGGTCTATCACCCCCTCCCTCCTCCCTTCCAAGTCCCCTGCACCTCTTTCAGCCCCCCCCCCTTGTCATCAAGTCCCTCCACCACGCCCTTGTTCCCTTCGTCTCACAAGTACAATAGTTCGAAAGGCACCATCCCCCATGCATACCCCTCGCAACTCAACCCAATCCCCCCACCCCCATCTTTCCGCACAATTCACCACGCCTGTCTGCTAGCAGGCTGTCAAACAAGCCAATAGTTGTGGACTAGTGTATTATCAGCTCAATCAGACTATGAAAAAAAATCGTCTGATCATTCAGACATAGCTTTAGCATTCGTCTTAAAAGTCAGACAAAAAAAAAATGCCCGTTTGAACGTCAGACGGGCCTAAATCCTAGCAAGGGCCCTGTCTACAAGGTTGTGGCGAAAGGATAGTGATACGGTGAGTATAAATACTTGTCAGGATCTCTTAGCAACGATTGCAGACGTATATGTATGTAAAATTATACTTACATACAAGTTTTAGGCTATACTGAGGTGGTCAATGGTCATTAGAGAGTACAACACTTTTACGGTTTCATACATGTATCCCATTTTCTGTGGCCCTTTGCAGTTCGCTACGCCGCACATCAGCTAAACCTTTGGTCGCGTGTTTCATGCATGGAGATTTCACCGACCTGTCTCTGGACTGGGTCTCCTGGTGTCGCGTTTGCGCTTCATGTCTGGGGTTGCCTTTAACGCATGTCCACGATCCTTGCGCGGACAAGCCCTCGGCTCGCACCCTCCGCTGTGTCTTTCTTGGTTTCCCGGTAGACATCCCTGACTTTCAGTTTTACCACCCGTCCCTCCACCGGATCTTCGACTCCCGCGACGTCAATTTTGAGAGTCCGTGTCTTTCTACACCCGCTACGTCTCCCGGTTCTCCCCCCTCTCCTCTTCCTCGTTCCCACTCCTCCTCCCGGTCCTGCTCCACTGGTGCTCCCACCCCACCCAAGTCATGCCCCAACAGGTGTGTCTCACGCTACCCCATCTCCCTTGGTAGCACGTCCGGTGTCGTCTCCTTCACCACAATCCCCAACGTCGTCCTCACAGTCACCGTAGCAGCCTTCGGTGCTATTGCAGTAGGTCGTTGCGGACCTTTCGGGTGCTGACGCTAGAATTGTTGGTCCTGGAGGTGCTGGTTATAGGAGAGCTGACGTCGGGGATGTTGACGCTTGAGGTGTTGGGGCTGGAGGTTCAGGCACTGTAGGTGTTGGTTTTGTGGGTGCTCGAGCTGGAGGTGCTGGAGCTAGAGGTACTGGTTCTGGTGGTGCTGGTTCTGGGGCTACTGGACTTGTAGGTGCAGGAGTTGGAGGTGCTAGGTCTGGGGTGCTGCTCGACTGTCGAGGCTCGACGCTGTTTGCCGACTTTACCTCGTGGGCCAACGTCTCGTCGGCTCCGCCGAAGCCGGCTTCGCTGTGATCGGCTAACCAAACCAGCCAACTTGCTCCTCCAAGTTGGCACCGTCCACGAAGCCTGGCTGGCTGCACACCTTGCACGCCGAACAATAAAGTCGGCTTTGCCCAAGTGAGGGCGTGGCCATTTCTCGTCAACACAGTGGTCGGCGTAGACAGTAGTTCTTGCTCCTTCGAGGTAACACCTCCACACTTTGAATGCTGTGACGATCGCGAGAGCTTCCTTATCGTGTATTGAGTAATTTGGCTCTGCTCCGCGTAGTTTCTTGCTCAGGTACGCGATCGGCTGCAACCCACTTCCGTGATCCTGCATCAGTACTGCTCCAACTGCCTGGTCACTCGTGTCTGCTTCCACCACGTACTATTTCTCTGGATCAGGTAGGATCATGATTGGGGCGGTTGTCAGAGCTGTCTGTAGCTGCTCCATGGCTTGCCGTTGAGGGGCTTCTTGTTTATAGGAAGTATTCTTCTCTAGTAAGTTTGTGAGAGGTGTTGTTATCCTAGCGTACAGCGGGATGGACCTATTGTAATGATTCGCAAAGGCTAGGAACTGCTACAATTCCTTGACGTTCTCCGGCGTCTTCCATTTTTTTACAGCTTTTATCTTCCGCGGGTCTACGTGAACTCCTTCGACACTCACCATGTGACCAAAAACTGAACATTTTTTAGGGCGAACTCGCTATTTTGAAGAGTCCGAACGACAACACTATGCATTCTTAGGACTCGTACCTCGTTCGAAACGCCGCTTTGTGAATTGAATTCTCCGCCATCTTGATCTGGCAGTAGCCTTACCGTACGTCCAATTTTGAGAAAACCGTTGCTCCGCGGAGTTGATCCATGAGGTCGTCGATTCGCAGAATCGGTTTTGTATTTTTTGCTGCCGGTTTGTTGAGAACCCGGTAGTCGATGAACATCCGCAAACAATTGTCTGGCTTTGTAGTAGAGAGAACCGAGGCACCGTAGGGTATTGTGGAGGGTCGGATGAGGCCGCGATCCAGCATATACTCGATTTGCGTCATCATGTCTGCTAGCTATGCTGGACAAAGGCGGTATGGAGCACAGAAGGTCGGTTTTGAACATATCGTGCTGAGGTTCTTTTACAATATCGTGCTGGAGAGTATGCTCTGGTGGTAATCCTGCAAATAGGTCGTCTGGCATGAGGTCTTCGTACTCCTCCAAAACTTCTCTAACTGCTGCAGGTAGTTAGAGGTGAGGTTTATCTTCCTCTTCTGCCATCACCAACGCCAAGTAACCTGTGTTTTGTTCGTTCACCGTCTTCTCGAACCGTGCGAGTGTCGCCTCAAGAACGTCATCCGTATTGTTCCAACTCCGTAACTCCACCTTCTTCCCGTTGTTGTAGATGCTCGCCTTCCGGTTGACTCAGTCAATTCCGGGGTTAAACCGCTTCAGAATTCACGCCCCAAGATGAATTCTAAACCCTTAATGTTGGTGACGGGTAGTGTAGGTCTCCATCGTAGCGCCCCTATCTGTAACTGGAGGGCTATTTTGCCGTGGATGGGTAGCCTGATGCCATCCACCATGGTTGCTCGAACGGGATCCACCACTCCAAATTTCTCAAAGGTCCCACGGTCGCACACTGAGTGACACGTTCCACGGTCCACCATCGCATAGAGGCGCCATCATTTGCATAGCACCTCGAGGAGTAGTGGTTGTTGCCGCTCCGATTAGCTTAAGATAGTCTCCATTACAGGTCATATGGTATATCAAATTTCACCATATCATCCCTAGGTCCTATCCTCAATTTGCAGACTCTTCTTTCTGTTTCATCTGAGTG